ACTCTAACATGACTGACTTTGGTGTGGCCCTCCCCTGCAGGGGTTCATTTCTCACTTTCCCTCTCATTCTGTGTCAATCTCTTTTTCTGTCAAATGCCTGTGCATTTAGGCAAAAGCCTCTCAAAAACAAAACAAAACAACAAAAACAAAGAAAGAAAGAAAACTTTCAAATGTTTAAAATCAAAGCCTGCCATTTCTCATATGGCTGACTATGTGGTTTGAGTACTGAATAAAGTGGCCTGAAATACATACCAGGCAGATGTGTGCCTGCCTATTCATCATCCCAAATGCAGAATAAAAGAAATAGACCTGTGGCATGACAATTTTCCAGTGCGTACTCATTTTCTTCTTCTCTCCTCTCTCTCTCTCTCTCTTTCTCTCTTATGAGTGTACATACTGTATAACAAGAAAAAAAAGAAAACAAATGACAGAAGAACCAATACTGAAGATGTAGAGTTCTGATCACATTAAAATCTCTGGTTTTACATGCTTTTTTTTTTTTTTTTAACAAATCAGGGAACAAGCAGATGGCTTAGCACTTATGTCACTGGTCTCCCACATGACCAATTGCTTTTGTTTTTTTTTTTTGATTGCTCTTTGAGTCCTGGAACTGGTGGCTCAAAAATCACACCTGAACATGTGTGTAAGCATGCCCAGCATCCCAGGAAGAGAAGAGAGGATACTGGATTTCCAGATGGCCATGCCTTTTGGGAATAATTTCTTACTTTCCAGATCACTGTGTGGATCTCTCTTCCTTCAGCAAGCTAATGCACCCTAAGGCAAAACCTCTAAGAAAAAAATGACATTTCTTAATGTTAGTATTAAAGTCAAAATTCAAGAGATTAATACCAGAATAATTCCAGAGAATGGAGACAGAATTAAATATATTACATAAGAGTAAGAATCAAAATTGAGCAATTTTTTAAAATCTCAAAAATAGATTTAGCTAACATTAATTTATAAGTTAAGAACTTCCAAGTAGAAAATGAACAATTAAAAAACCAATTAGCTGCAGAGAAAAATGTTTTTACAAATTGTTAGAAACACTTGTAGTCAATATGTGAATAGAAGATTTGAATTAAATATATAATTTTCAACAGAAACATACTTAACACTTTTTTCAAACAGTTGATGTTGAAGTGTATAAAGCTATATAAAAAGCAATCAAAAAGTACCAGAAATGTGTCAAGTGGCTGAAAAACTGACAACCCAAATGCTACTTTTTATATTATTTATTTAATGTTATTTTCTATTATTTTCTTTTGAATTTGCTATAGGGCTTGTGTGCTTACTTTTTCAAACAGTTGATGTTGAAGTGTATAAAGCTATATAAAAAGCAATCAAAAAGTACCAGAAATGTGTCAAGTGGCTGAAAAACTGACAACCCAAATGCTACTTTTTATATTATTTATTTAATGTTATTTTCTATTATTTTCTTTTGAATTTGCTATAGGGCTTGTGTGCTTACAAGAGAGAGACAGAGACAGAAACAGAGAGAGAGAGAGAGAGAAAGAGAAAGCAAGTTGCCTGGGTCAGGACTTGAACTGTGGTCAGCTTATAAGTCATGCCAATTGCTAGGCCCCCAGATACTATATGTAATTTCCAGAACATAGGGAAAATAAGAAATGCTTCAATTGTAGTTTCTGAACCTACATAGAAACATCAGGACTTGAACTGTGGTCAGCTTATAAGTCATGCCAATTGCTAGGCCCCCAGATACTATATGTAATTTCCAGAACATAGGGAAAATAAGAAATGCTTCAATTGTAGTTTCTGAACCTACATAGAAACATGATGACATGTGGGACACATTCAAGAAGGGTTATAAAGGTGAGTGTAATCATGAGGAATGTAACTCATCATTCAGTCTTTCCAATAGTGCCAAGGGAGCATGGTAGTAGTTACCCTCACAGAAAATCTGAAATATTTCAGGTGATATCCATATTAACTACCATAGTCCAAGTGTTCCACGTTATATTTAAAAATTCTAAAACTACTATAATGCACACACACACACACACACAGCAACTTGCATATGTATACATTTTTAAAATATATAAAAATCATGAATATGTGCACTGCTTATTCACAGCCTGTAAAAAAGTTGTCTTTTTTATACATTAATGATCCTCCTTTGAAATCACCTCTGTTCAGGTGACAGAGTCATCATCCAGCTAAACAAAACCTCATCTCACTAACAAGGCCCTGGAAGCCTCTTTTCAATGATTGGATACAATGTGCTTAAGTAGAGAGAAAACAATTTTAAGGTTTTCTAGAGCCCTGTGAATATTACTCACACCAGCTCCATGTACCAGTGCAGGAGAATCTCTGAATGGATTCCTAGACCTACACCTTTATGTCTTGTGGCTTAGTTGAAGAATTTACCCTGAATTACATGAATTTATGGTATTTTCTAACACTGTCATCTCTGTTTAGGTATGAATGGAAGAACTACCAATATGTACTAGCTTTTCTCTTTGCCATTGAGGAGATCAATAAGAGCTCCCATTTGCTCCCCAATCTTTCCCTGGGTTATGATCTCTACAATGCAATTACCAGTGACAAAAGAACTTTAGAAAATGCTCTGTTTTTGCTCTCTGGAGTGAATCAGACCATGCCAAACTACAACTGCCAGACACAGAAACAACCTGTGGCTATCATTACAGGAAACACACCAACATTTTCAGCCCAAGTTGGAACCCTTTTGGGACTCTCTAAAAACCCACAGGTAAGTGGGATGCCAGGATGGGGAATAAGAGTTGGCTAGCTTTTAATTTCATCTTCTCACATATGAGCAAAGAAAATGTGAAAGCTGGGTTTACATATGCCTTGCAACCCTCAAAACTTCTCTTGGTTCTTGTGCACAATTTTTCTGAAACACAGAACAAAAACATGGGTAATTTCCTGAGTCATGGGATTATTAACAGTACAAAGATGAGAGAGAAAGAAAAAGAACAGAGGTGGGCCAGATTCAGCCATGTGGCTGAATCCCACATGGCTGACTGCATGGTTGAAATTTTGATCCTGGTGTCTTAAAGAACACACTGGGCTTGTGCGCTTGCATGTCTCAAATCCCACCAATGGGAAATTTAGGAGAAGAAATATTAGCATGCTCATTCCCTGTGAGCGGTTATTCTCATGTTCCTCTGTCTTTCTGTGGCAGGCAAACATGATACAATTTGCCTCTAACAAATTAAATACAGTAAGAGAAGTGGAATCTGTTCACTTTCACCCAAAGTCCTGTCTATATACATTACATTCAATTGCCACTGATAGGAACATCGATGGCCAATTTAAAATTGTCTCCTAAAAGTATGAACTAAGTAGACATATTTTTTGAGACGTTTTTGCTATAGGGCATGTGCGCTCACCAGAAAGAGAGAGACAGAAAGTCAGAAAATGAGAAATCACCCTCCAGAGGTGATGGCAATGCCAGAATCCCTTCTCCTCCATTCTCTTCTCAGGATCTTGGGAACGAATGCACATGTGCCAATCTTGAGTTTAAGCCACCGTGTCTGGGACTCAAACTGTGGTTGATTACATGGGAGTCCAGCAACATAGCCATTACACTCACTGCTGGTCCTATGAACTAAGTAGACATTTACCTTATCTTGAGAGAGGAAAATATCAGGGGACATTTATTGGATAATTTGATACAAAGATACAAAATTTTTTGCATTCATTACAATGTTGAACAAAGAAAGAACATTTCAGCACTGGAGAGCCTCCAAGTTGGGTATGGATCAGCTACAGTAGCTGAGCGTTACCAGTTCCCTCTGCCTTTCCTCACGCCCATGCAGGTGGATTTTTTTGTGTGTGTGTGAGAGATTTTTGCTATGGAGTATGTGGGTTCACCAAAAAGACAGACAGACAGATAGACAGAAAGTGATAAACCATGCCCCAGAGGGGATGATCATGCAGCAATCCCTTCTCCATTCTCCTCTTGGGCATGCATGCACATGTGCCTGGCATGAGTTTAAGCTACCAAGTATTGGACTCAAACCGTGGTCGACTACATGGGAGTCCAGTGATGTAGCCATTATGCCAACTTCTGGTCCCAAAATTCTGCATTTTGAGAGAGAGAGAGAGATATGGACTTGATGCCACAATCCTCCAGCCTCCATAGCATTTTGCCTATGGAGGGTGGGTGCCACTACACTCCCCATGCAGGTGGATCTCTTGAAAGCACTTCCAGTTACTCTCCACATAACAGCTTTCCACCTCAGAGATTATTCCAGGGAAATTGTCTAATAGAAGTTTCAGAAGACATTACTGGCAAACACATTAGCTTAAGAAGAATCACGCTCTTGAAAAATTACATTTTAAAAATGTAGAGAGGCTAAGTTGTATTTTAAGATGATATAGGTTATTTTGTGGTGATAAAATATAGTATCAATTTCTCAGAGTTGACATTTTTAACCTTGGCTGCTAGGAAATGAACACTCTGATCTTTATGTCACATGAACTCAAGATAGCAAAATCACCATCTTGTTGCAGCATTTTAATAAATTTATGCATCCCTCAGTTTCTACAGCACACAATAAAACAATTATTGAACCTTATACTTTTTCTCTCATGTTTTGGTCTGGAAGTCATATTATTTGGACTAGTCAACATGTCCTTTATTGAAAAAAAAATGGGCCTGAAAAATAGTCTTCTACTGCTCCTAATCACAGCATCCTTTTTTTTTTTTCACTTAATATTCCATTCTATGATCCCATCAGGTAAATATTTATCTCCTACCTGTTTAAGTGGGACAATCCAAAATCCCACTAAGGTTAGAATCAGATTATTTATTTCTTATTCAGGTCATATATGGTCCTTTTGACCCCATCCTAAGTGATAAAAACCAATTTCCATCAGTTTTTCAGATGGCCACCATGGACAGTTCTCTGGGTCATGGAATCATCTTGTTGCTGCATTTTGGCTGGACGTGGGTGGCGCTCTATGTATCTGATTATATGCAAGGGGAGTAGTTCCTTCAGGATGTAAAGGCAAAGATGATCGAAAAGGGTATCTGTGTGGCCTTTAAAGAAAAGCTCCCTGCCACAAAAGGTGTCTTTTTAGATTGTGACGTCCTTGTTGTGAAGAGGATCAAAGTTTCATCTGCAAATGTGTATATAATACATGGTGATGAAGGCAGTGTCTGCACCCTTGTACTAGAAAAATAATTTTATTTAATTTTGGGAAAGGTATGGATCATGACAAATATCCACCTCTCAGTGTGGAAAGCTATTTTGACTTATATGAAGGGCATACCATACTTTTTTCCATGGAAGCCTCTTATTTTCATACCAGCAAAGGAACGTTTCTGGCTTTAAAGAATTTCTCAAAACAGTGAACCCTTCCCAATACCCAGAAGAGTTTCACTTTAGTAAAATCTGGCTTCACTTTTTTGGATGCTCACTTACTGGATCACTTTGTGGCAAACTTGGAGACTGCCTACCAAATCCTTCCCTAGAGTTTCTACCATCTGACTTGAGCATGATGATCATATCTGACCCCAGCTATTTTATCTATCATGCTATGCATGTGGTGGCCCAAGTTCTTTATAAGATGCTTTTTCTTGAAGTAGAAATGGGATCTCCAGGAGATGCAGACCAGCCTATTCTTCCCTGGCAGGTAAATACCCTTCACAAGCACCTGATAACTTTTAGAGTTTATTAAAATTTTTTTTTTTAATCAGACATGGACACTCGTCAGAGAGAGACAGAGGGATGGAACGTGAGATATGACCTCCAGAGGGTAATGGCCACACCACAATCCCTTCTACTCCATTCTCCTCCTGTAATTTGGACGAGCATGTACAAGTGACTGGCAAGTTTTCAAGCTTCCAGTTCTGGGACTCACACCATGGTCAGTCATCAGAAAAAGACAAAATGTGATACATTACCACCTGGGGAGGGGTGGTGGTGCTTTAAGTCCTTTTTCCTCCATTCTGTTCTTGCAATTTTGGGGTATGCACACAAACATGCCCAGCATGATTTTCAAGCCATGGGGTCCAGAACTTGAATCACAGTAGGTCAAATGGAAACCCAGCCACCCTAATCACCATAACACCTGCTGAGTTATTTCTTTATTGTATTTCTACAGAGTTTTGCTATTAAGCATGTGCCCTCACCAGTGAGACAGAGACAGAGAAACAGAAAGTGGGAAATTACCACCCAGAGGGGATGGTCAAACCAGAATCCCTTTGTTTCCATTCTCCTCTTGGTATTTTCAGCATGCTCATACACATGCCCATCATGAGGTTTAAGCAGCCATCTGCAGGACTCAAACTGTGTTAAACAATGTGAAATTCAGTGCTGTAACCATTATGCCATCTGCTGGTCACTGGTGAGGTATCCTTTTAAAAAAATACAATCTGGGGACCAGTGGATGGTGTAATGGTTATTTTGCTGGGCTCCCACATTGTCAAGCATGGTTTGTGTTTCAGACCTGGTGACTGAAACTGATGCTTGACCCAAGAAATACAGAGGACCCCGAGTAGAATAAACCCAAGAAGATCCTCTCCAAGGCACATCATAGCCAGACTGGCAAAAACAACAGTCAAGTGTGGATGTGTGCCTAAGATCCCAAGAGGAGAATGGATGAGAAGGGATTTTGGTGTGGCCATCCCCCCAGGAGTGGTTATTTATTGCTTTTTTTAAAAAATATTTTATTTTTTAAATTTTTTTACATTTTTAAAATACATTCAATCACATTTTTTAGCTTACAAGGTGATCATTTCAATATGTGAACATTTCCCCCTGGTCGAGTTGAGCAAAATATAACAATACTACCTCCCCGTCTCAAAAATGCTGTCTCCATATCCCTCCTCCAAATGTTTTTCCTACTCCTCCACACACACCACATCTGGCATTCACACCCATCTCTTCTGTTTGTACATCCTTTAACACGTCAGCTTCAGTTATAGAGTGCTAACACTCGGTATAAATTAAGTGGGGACATACAGTGTCTCTCCTTCATAGCCTGGCTTGCTTCAATCAGCAGTAAATCTTCCATAATCTTCTGCTTTCCATTTTGAGAGCAACCAACAAAAGGCCTCTCCGTCAAGGGAAATCATCAATCCTACATCACCCACAGTCAATACAATGGACGTCGTGGACATGTCTGATAAGGAATTCAGAATATTTGTAGTGACCAAACTAACTGAGATGGAAGAGAAAAGAGACAAGGAGCTCCAGGAGATGAGGAAGTCCTTTAATGACTTGAAAGAAGAAATGGATACCCTAAACAAGAACCAGATGGAACTTCTAGGTTTGAAGAATGTGATAGAGGAAATCAAAACCTCCCTTGAAAGCATTAAATGTAGGTTAGACCAGGCAGAAGACCGAATCTCTAACGTAGAAGACAAAACATCTGACCTAGATAAAAGTATCAAGAAGATTGAGAAAACAACCATGAAAAATGAGGATAATATACGAGGAATACTGGACACCATCAAGCGCCCCAACATTCGGATAATTGGTATTCCGGAGGAGGAAGAAAATAATAAGGGCCTGGAAAATTTATTCCATGAGATCCTGGAAGAAAACTTTCCAAATCTAGAAAGGCATTCAAATATCCAGACCCAAGAAATACAGAGGACCCCAAGTAGAATCAACCCAAGAAGATCATCTCCAAGGCACATCATAGCCAGACTGGCAAAAACAACAGATAAAGACAAGATACTAAAGTTGGCAAGAGGGAAACGCCAGGTTACTTACAAAGGTCACCCCATCAGGCTAACATCGGATCTCTCAGCAGAAACAATGCAGGAAAGGAAAGAATGGGGAAGCATAGTCAAAGTGTTGAGTGAAAAACAATTTCAACCAAGAATACTATACCCGGCAAAATTATCTTTTATATGGGAAAAAAAGATAAAAACATTCTCAAATAAACAAAATTTGAAGGAATTTACCAACACCAGACCAGCTCTTCAAGAGGTTTTGAAGGGAGTACTATACCAGGAAAACTAAAAAATCAGAGACAGTTATACGAGAACAAAAAACAACTAAGAAAATGGCTCACTTAATGATAGGATCAGGTATGGAAATATCGATAATTACATTGAATGTCAATGGATTAAATTCCCCAGTTAAGAGACATAGACTAGCTGAATGGATAAGAAAACAGAAACCCTCTATCTGTTGCCTACAAGAAACTCACTTTATGGATAAAGATATACATAGACTAAAAGTCAAGGGCTGGAAAAAGATATTCCATGCAAATGGAAATCAGAAAAAGGCTGGAGTAGCGATATTGATCTCAGACAAAATAGATTTTAAAACAAAGACTGTAAGAAGAGACAAAGAAGGGCATTATATAATAGTAGATGGGGTAATCCAGCAAGAAGATATAACCCTTATAAATATCTACGCACCCAACTCAGGTGCGCCTAAATATGTGAAGGAAAGACTGCTGGAGCTAAAAGGAGACATAGGGAAAAATACTATAATTGTTGGAGATCTCAACACCCCGTTATCTCCTATAGACAGATCTTCTAGACAGAAAATAAATAGAGAGATACAGGACTTAAATGATACTATAAATGGAATGGGCTTGACAGATATCTATAGAACTTTCCACCCTACATCCACAACATATACATTTTTCTCACCCCGACATGGAACCTTTTCAAAGATAGATCATATACTAGGACACAAATCAAGCCTTTACAGATTCAAAGGCATAGAAACTGTACCCAGTATCTTCTCTGACCATGATGGAATTAAACTCAAGATTAATTTCAAGAAACAACCCCGAAAACACACGAACACATGGAAACTGAACAACCTACTTCTGAATGACTTCTTCACTACTGAAGAAATTAAGGCTGAAATAAACAAATTTATGGAAACAAATGATAATGAGGACACAAGTGTCCAGAACCTATGGGACACAGCAAAAGCAGTCATAAGAGGGAAATTCATAGCAATTAGTGCACATAAGAAAAGGATGGAAAGATGGCAAGTAGATAACTTATCATCATGCCTCAGAGAACTGGAAAAACAACAACAAACGAACCCCCAAAATGCCAGGCGAAAAGAAATAATAAAGGTTCGAGCAGAAATAAATGAAATAGAAAATAAACGAACCATACAGAAAATAAATGAAAGCAAAAGCTGGTTCTTTGAAAAGATCAACAAGATCGATACTCCATTGGCTAGACTGATCAAGAAGAAGAAAGAAAGAAACCAGATTAATCAAATATGTGATGAAACAGGCAATATTACCACGGACATAGCAGAAATACATAATATCATTAGAGGATACTATGAGCGACTTTACGCCAACAAACAAGATAACCTGGAGGAGATGGACAAATTCCTGGATGCATATAAACTACCAAGATTGGATCAGGAAGACATAGAGAATCTGAATAGACCTATAACAAGCCAGGAGATTGAATCAGTAATTAATAATCTCCCAACAAAGAAAAGCCCAGGCCCAGATGGCTTCACTTGTGAATTCTACAAAACTTTCAAGGAAGAGTTAACCCCTATCTTACTAAAATTATTTCTAAAGATTCAAAAGGAAGGAAACCTTCCAAATTCATTTTATGAAGCCTCCATCATCCTCATCCCCAAAACAGATAAGGAAATGACAAAAAAGGAAAACTACAGACCAATATCATTGACGAATATAGATGCAAAAATTCTCAACAAGATACTCGCAAATCGTATCCAACAACATATAACAAAGATCATTCATCACGACCAGGTAGGCTTTATACCAGGGATGCAAGGGTGATTCAATATACGCAAGACCATAAATGTAATACACCACATTAACAGTAACTGTACTAATACTATCTGCAAAAATCCTGGAGGAAGGAACAATGATCCAATATTAAAAAATGAAACTACTTTTGAAACCTATAGTCTCAGGGTTTTCTAGTTAGTTCATAAATAAGTTTATATTTTAAATAAACACTAAATCATGGAGCCAGCAGCTGGTAAGGTCAAGCATGGTTAAGGTTCTGGACTCCCACATGGTCAACTGTGGCTCAAGTCCTGGACTGGTAGTTTACTTTCTTACTTTCCCTCTCTCTTGCTCTCTGTCTCTCTTTGGTGACTATATGAGCTTAAAAATAACACTTAATAAAATAAAATGAATAATTTTAAAGAACACTAAATTTATAAATTTTATATAAAAATATTAAAAGGGGACAAATACATTAGATAAATTCGTTGAACAAAACAACTAAATACAATATATGTACATAAAAATACATATCAGAAAGTTTAGTTTCTATCTTATTTTTGCTTGTATTAATAATAACAACATTTGATTTGCACTTTGAACAAGTCTGACATTGACTCTTCAACAAGCAAATTCAAAAGTTAAGAGGATAACATGGTTTATTAAAACTCTCTTTAATGAAGCCAGCAAATGGTTCAGTGGTTAAGTCACTGAACTCTTGATTATCATTCCAGTCCCAGACCTGGCAGTTTGCCTTCTTACTTTGTTGCTCTCTTTCTTTCATGAGCACACATGCCCTTTGGAAAATTTAAAGTAATGATAAAAAGAAAAAGAGTAAATAAATAATTCTCTTTAAAAATCTATTTTATGGATTGAACCCATGGCCTAGTGATTAAGGTAGCTATATTTCACATGGCTCAAGTCCCAGACCTGGAAGCCTAAGAAACATTCCAGGCATGTGTGTATGCATGCAGGCCCAAAAACTAAAAAGGAGGGAGAACTGGAGAAGGAATTGCAGCCTGACCATTCCCCATGGGAGGTGCTTTCTTCTCTTCTTTTCTCACTATTTCCCTGTCTCTCTCTATAAGGACATATACCTACTAGGAAAAACAAAAAGGTAAAATACCTGTTATAATTTAGATGCTTTAATTTTATATTTTGTCACAAATTGTTTATTGTATTGTCATATGACAATCACACTCTTATCAAAAGATGTCCAAAATAAAGATTTAAAAAAAAATGTGTTCCCTTTTTAAAAGTTTTATTGGGTCTAAATAGCATCCCAAAATTGCACATATTTAATGTACATATTTGGATAAACTTGGAGAAATGCATACCTTTATAATACCGCTACCACTATCAAGAATATAAAGCTATTCATCTATATAATGTCTTTTAAAAATTTTTCTACAAGGGACAGGCAGGTGGTGTGGTGGTAAGGGCACTGGATTCCCACATGACTGACTGTGGTTAGAATCTTGGATTTTTCAGCTTGCTTTCTCCTTTTCTCTCTCTCTCTGTCCCTTTCTGGTCAATATAAAATATTAATAAATAAAATATAATAAATACTTCTGTAAAAATTATTTATTAGATAAGGCATGTGCATTTTCAGAAAAATATAGAAGTGAGAAATCACACCCTCCATAAAAAATGGTCATGATGTAATTATGACCATTGTAATTTATGTTTAATGAAATTCCTGCCATTTGGAATTTTGGGCATGCACACATATGTGCTGTTCTTTATTTTAAATAATGATAATTGTACTTTATTATTGCTTTAGAAATTTGATCAGAGAGAAAGAGAAAGTAAGAAAGAAGGACATTAGGTGTAGGATTTGAACCACAATCTGCCATGTGGGAGCCCAGCACGTTTATCACCATTGCCACCTTTGGCCCCACCCAGTGTGTTTTGTAAGCTACAGGTACAGAACTAAAGTTGCCAGCTTGGGCATATGTGATTTAGCCACCTTAACTACTCCACTGTTTCACCCCATGTTGTGCACTTCATGAATGACCAAGATTAGCCTCTAATTTGTTCCAACCAGATTTTATTAGCTTGGATTTTATGAGAGTCTGAGTACAAATCACACTCTGAAAAGCATACTAGAATTTTTCTGATGAGTGACAACCACTCCTACATAGCCTTTTTTTTTTTTAAGAGTTCATCTTACGTAAGCCCTGAGCTGCTGACCACTCAAACCAGACTGAGACCCTACTGAAAGGTGAACATGTAAATAAAGATGTGAAAATAGAAGGATTACTTTATAGATATGGACTGTTCACTCTACATTAAATGCAGTCCTAATTTGCAAACCTTACCTTTAATCGAGCTTCACCCATTTCTGAGGAAAAGCCAACTGACAAACAGCATTGGGTACAGTGTGCCCCTGGATAAAGAAAGATATACAATACAGTATAATATCCAAAACCTCGTGAGATTTCCTAATCACAGTTGGCTGTTTGTTAAAGTAGGAGACTTTATCTACAGGAATTCCCATGATCAAGGTTTGTTCATCAGAGAAGACATGATAAACTGGTCTGTTAGTTTCAAAGAGGTACCATGTCATTTCTGTATAAAATACATACAGAGGTGGGGTCAGCAGATTGTATAGTACTTACATCACTGGAATCCCACATGACTGACTGTGGTTCGAGTCCTGGACCTGGTGACTTGAAACTCATGACAGGTGTGTATGCCATTCTTCTGGGGGAGTGATTTCTCACTTTTTCTCTTATCATCTGTCTGTCTTTCTCTCTCTGGTGGGTATACACACAAATCAAAATATATATGAGTTATCTGAACAGAGTCTCTAAATAAAATTGAGAGATGTTTACCATTTAAAAACATACATTTAAATGATTTTAGATGAAGTAATTGCATAAGAGGAGAAAATGACACCAGGGATATTTTTAGTAATGTATGAGATAAAGTAATCAGGAACCTTGGAACTATTTCATAAATAATACATAAAGGGGACCCACAAGTGGTGAGGTGGTTAAAGCACTGGACTCCTACATGGTCAATCACTGTTTGAGTCCCAAAAATGATGGCTTCTTTTCTCACTTTTACATTCTCCCCCTCTCTCTGTCTCTTTATGATTAAATTATAAGCAAAAAATGAATAAAATTAAATACAAATAGTTTTAAAAATAGATACATACTCAAGAAAATAAATGTTTAAGCTAAGTATACTAGTTCTTAATTAGAAGTCTAGGTAAGTGGGGCCAGCAGGTTATATAGTGGTTAAAGTTCTGGATTCCCACATGTCTGACTGCAGTTGAAGTCCTGGAATCAGAAGCCTGAATCATGTCAGGAAAATGTGCATGGAGGCCAAAAATTCTAAGGAGAATAGAAAGGGGATTGTAGTGTAGCAATTCCCCCAGGGGTTATTTTTCTTTTTCTCTGCCTTTTCCTCTCTCTCTGGCAAGTGTATGCACCCTACAGTCAAAATCTCTGTCTAAATAAATACAACCCTGAGTGATATCTAAAAGATAAACAGTGATGAACTATTTCAGTTTTCTCTGAAGTGGAAAGAAATAATGACATGTAGTCAAACCAACTCATAACATACATAATTATGACTAATGATTCTCTTTGCTCAGACTCCTGAATCTGTGTGTAGTCACAGCTGTGTTCCTGGATTCCAGAAAATTCCCCAAGAAGGAAGACTTTGCTGCTTTATTTGTGTTTCTTGCCTGGAGTCAGATATTTCAAATCAAACAAGTATGAAATATATAACTACACTATCAGTCCTTACTATTGCTCAATAAAAATGAAACTATTATTACAAGAAAAAACAAACATAGAGACCAGCAGGTGGTTAAGGCATTGTCCCATGTGGCCAACGGCAGTTCAATTCCCAAACCAGAAATTTGAAAGTAACACCAGTTGTGTGTACATGCGTGCTAAAAATCCTGAAAGAAGAAGAGACTGTGGCATGCCCATACCCCTGAAGGATGATTTTTCACTTACTTTTTGTCTTTCTGTCTCTCTGATGAGTACATGTGCTTTATATCAGAAATATCCTTTAAAAATAAATTAATAAATGAAACATAGAACACCACAGTTCTTAATTCACATAATTATTGTTTTGCTATATTTATTTTTAAAATAATCTCCTACCCCATTTTATGAAGCTGTTTTCAACCCGTGCTCATTCTATTAGGCTAAGTTGTGAAACTATTTCCAATGAACACCCTTGAAGTTAGGTGCTGAATAAGACACTGTCAATTTTGGATTTCATACTGGACCACACTAGTCATAAATAGAAGGATGTGTATTACCAAGGTTACCTGTGGATGCCTTAAAGTTTGAATCTGACTTTGAGACCAAGATGATAAGCACAAGGGAATTCCAGATAAACTATTTTTAGAATATCTTATAACTTTTTCAGCCATACTCAAACACCTGTGCAATTAAGTACAAAGAATTGACTAATATCAGAATATCACACTTTGAAATTTATTCCAGGAAGAAAAAGAATCATCATTTACAAATTGAGTACTCAACAACCTAATAAATTTAACAATTGGGTATATCAAAATATGCTCTCATACAAAATATAAAATCAAGCAATTACCATAATAAAATACTGTATTATCAAATATGAAAGATGCAAAGTTATAAAAAGTAATGCTTCCATTTTTCTGATAAATAAGGGAAATATGGTTTGAATTCTTCCATAAGCATTATGTCATTGCAGGCATTTTAATTGTAGAAAACATTTTAATTTCATCGCTGGTAAAAGTAAGTATGTGTTCAGGTAAGAATATACCAAGAAAAAATGTTATTTATCTTTTATGAAGGAATTGAAAAACCAAATAAGTATGCAAAACAAGACATAAAAATAGAGGCATGGGGCTAGCCCAAGGCCTGATAGTTAAGGTGGCTGAGTCCCACATGTTCTAAATTGTGGCTTAATGATCAGATGATTTGGAAAACACAAAGAATTTGTGTGTTGTCCAAAATCCTGATAAGAAAAATAAAATGGTGCAGAAGGTATTGTGGCATGACCATTTTATGAAGGTGGTGTTACTCTCTCTGTGTCTCTCTCTAGTGAATGCATTTGTCCTCTGGCAATAGGAGTCAGCAAATGGCATGCTTATTTAGATGCTGAATTTCCACTTATCCTACTGTGGTACAAGTCCTAGATCTGGGGGCTCATTTTCTCACTTTCCTTCTCTCTCTGTCTCTGTCTCTATCTCTATCTGAAAAGCACACATGCCTTACAAGTTTTAAAAATAATAGTGAATAAAATTAAATAAATTCTTAAAAAAATAATAAGTAAAAACAAAGTAACAAATAGTTTGTGATCTTTAAGAAGACATTCATGTGTTTGTGGGTACCAAACTTGGCTCTGAGGCAGAAGCCAGGAGTATTTGATGACTCTAGAACTAGGAGTAGGTAGTGTAAGAAAAAACATGTACACAAACCAGAGTAGGAAGAGAAAGAAGAGAAAGAAAGGAAGGAAGCAAGTCTCCAGGTTTAAGACTCAAAATGCTGTCAGCCATGTGGGAGTCTCTCATCTTCACCATCATACCACCTTCTGGCCTCCACTCTAATTCATTGAGAATATATTGGGTTTCTGGAAAAGTCATGATGTAATTTTCATTTATTTTTATGCAAAAATGCGACATGACTTTTCTGATGACCCAATGCTATTGCCTCAGTATTACCAAAAATAAGTAAATAAATGAAAACTTGAGAAATGAAGAACAACCCTAACTATTTTTGTAAAAAAAGAAAATAATAATTGAAACATGGACATGGCTGATAATTTACATAAGTTCTGTGAAGGTTTTCCTGGTATATAACAATAGAAGCTAGTAGTTGCTACAGAGATATTATAAGCCATACTCAAACACCTGTGCAATTAAGTACAAAGAATTGACTAATATCAGAATATCACACTTTGAAATTTATTCCAGGAAGAAAAAGAATCATCATTTACAAATTGAGTACTCAACAACCTAATAAATTTAACAATTGGGTATATCAAAATATGCTCTCATACAAAATATAAAATCAAGCAATTACCATAATAAAATACTGTATTATCAAATATGAAAGATGCAAAGTTATAAAAAGTAATGCTTCCATTTTTCTGATAAATAAGGGAAATATGGTTTGAATTCTTCCATAAGCATTATGTCATTGCAGGCATTTTAATTGTAGAAAACATTTTAATTTCATCGCTGGTAAAAGTAAGTATGTGTTCAGGTAAGAATATACCAAGAAAAAATGTTATTTATCTTTTATGAAGGAATTGAAAAACCAAATAAGTATGCAAAACAAGACATAAAAATAGAGGCATGGGGCTAGCCCAAGGCCTGATAGTTAAGGTGGCTGAGTCCCACATGTTCTAAATTGTGGCTTAATGATCAGATGATTTGGAAAACACAAAGAATTTGTGTGTTGTCCAAAATCCTGATAAGAAAAATAAAATGGTGCAGAAGGTATTGTGGCATGACCATTTTATGAAGGTGGTGTTACTCTCTCTGTGTCTCTCTCTAGTGAATGCATTTGTCCTCTGGCAATAGGAGTCAGCAAATGGCATGCTTATTTAGATGCTGAATTTCCACTTATCCTACTGTGGTACAAGTCCTAGATCTGGGGGCTCATTTTCTCACTTTCCTTCTCTCTCTGTCTCTGTCTCTATCTCTATCTGAAAAGCACACATGCCTTACAAGTTTTAAAAATAATAGTGAATAAAATTAAATAAATTCTTAAAAAAATAATAAGTAAAAACAAAGTAACAAATAGTTTGTGATCTTTAAGAAGACATTCATGTGTTTGTGGGTACCAAACTTGGCTCTGAGGCAGAAGCCAGGAGTATTTGATGACTCTAGAACTAGGAGTAGGTAGTGTAAGAAAAAACATGTACACAAACCAGAGTAGGAAGAGAAAGAAGAGAAAGAAAGGAAGGAAGCAAGTCTCCAGGTTTAAGACTCAAAATGCTGTCAGCCATGTGGGAGTCTCTCATCTTCACCATCATACCACCTTCTGGCCTCCACTCTAATTCATTGAGAATATATTGGGTTTCTGGAAAAGTCATGATGTAATTTTCATTTATTTTTATGCAAAAATGCGACATGACTTTTCTGATGACCCAATGCTATTGCCTCAGTATTACCAAAAATAAGTAAATAAATGAAAACTTGAGAAATGAAGAACAACCCTAACTATTTTTGTAAAAAAAGAAAATAATAATTGAAACATGGACATGGCTGATAATTTACATAAGTTCTGTGAAGGTTTTCCTGGTATATAACAATAGAAGCTAGTAGTTGCTACAGAGATATTATAATGCATAAAGGCAAAAATATTACTAGCTACATAGAGAAATTAACAAACCTTCCCTTCAGATGCGTATAAATGGTTACTTCAAAAATAATACCCCATTCTTCTATTATATAGTTAAAATACAAATTTCTCAAAAAATTCATATATATGAGCAATCAAATTCCATTCAAGATTAAAAAATTTGCTCTCTTCTCACTACCACATAGAAAGGCCTACAGACACCCAACTGCCATCTTTCGACCCCTGGGCCAGGAACTGCGAGGGAGGACTGCCCCTGAAGCTCCAGCCCCAGGACCCCCCAAGCCAGAAACCCCTCTGTCAGCCAGCTGAAAGGAATACTTTTCCTTTGATTACATTGCCAAAAACAATAGAAGAGAGACTTTGGCAGTCTTCATTCGCAGCCAAAAAGAAACACTCCTGCTCCTATTTGAGGAAATGTTCTCTTAAAAGGTATTTCAAAGAGAACACATCTCCCAATGGTTAGAAGTAGAAAAAGAACCTCAGGTCTGAATAAAGCAGAAATATTTCTCCATCAAAAGAACACAATAACTCCCTTACTTTTCTTGAAAAAATAGAGGACGTTACCAAAATGTCTGTGATAGAATTCAGAACATTCATGTTGAACAAATACTATGAGCTGGAACAGAAAAGAGATAATAAACTACAAGAGATGAGAAAGTCCTTACACGATATGAAGGGAGAAATGGACATTGCTAAGGAAGAATAAGACAGAACTATTAGAGGTGAAGTCTGTAATACAAGAAATCAAAAACTCTCTCAAAAGTATTAAAAGTCTATTAGACCGTGCTGAAGGTGCTGTAGAACATAAAACTTCTGACCTAGAGAAAACCACCAAAAAGATAGAGAAAATAACAACAACAACAACAAAAAACACATGAAGATAACGTATGAGAAATACTAGATTCCATTAGATGTCCTAACATCTGAATAATTGGTATCCCAGAAGATGAACAAACTAATAAGAGCATGGAAAACCTATTCCATGAAATCTTGGAAGAAAATTTCCCAAGCACAGAGAGGCACTCAAACATCCAGACCCAAGAAATACAAAGGACACCAAATAGAATCAACCCAAGAAGATCTTCTCCAAGGCATATCATAGCCAGACTGGCTAAGACCACAGATAAAGATAAGATACTAAAACTAGCAAGAGAGAAACGACAAGTGACTTACAAAGGTCACCCCATCAGGCTAACACTGGACTTCTCAATGGAAACAATGCAAGCAAGGAAAGAATGGGAAGATGTATTGAAAGTGTTAAGACAGAAACAATTTCAACCAAGATCATTGTATCCTGCAAGATTATCCTTCATATGGGAAAAAAAAGACGAAAATCTCCTCAGACAAACAAAACCTGAAAGAATTTGCCAGCACCAGGCCAGCTCTCCA